TTATTTTTTTTTTTTTTTTTTTTATGTAATTAGCTTAGCTTTATTGATTTTAAGTTTATTTTATTTTTTTAAAATTATCCCGTAAATGGGATAACAAATCAGCTTTAAACAAAATAAAAAATATATAAATTTTAATATATCATTGGGTATAAATAAGAAAATTTACAATATCAATCAAAAAAAAAAAAAAAAAAAAAGAAAAAAAGAATTTGTCATACAATTTGTTTAATAATGAAATTCATGTTGTATTTTATGTTTTTCTTTCTTTTTTTTTTTCAAAAACTGTTTTTTTTTTTTTTTTTAATATATAATTAAAACAAAGCTGATTTGTATCATAAATGTTAAAAATAATATTATATAATAATTAATTTTTTTATGTTATTGTTAATTGTAGCACAAGAAGACTGATGATGAAAAACACTACTCAAATTTTTTATTTTTTTAGTTTTTAACTGATTTTATTATTATTATTATTATTATTTTATTTTATTTTTTTTTATTTAAAAAAGAGAGAGAGATTTTTACTATAGCTAATGCCTTACTTAATTTTTTTTATAAAATTATCATGTAATTTTTTTTTTTTTTTCCTTTTAATTTTATTCATTCTTTTCTTCTTGTCGGTGTATAAAATATAATAAAAATTAATATACTATATTTTTTTAATTTAAAAAATTCATGTGGATCCTTGTGATTTATTTATCATAGATTTTTTTTTTAAATATTTAATTAAGTATTTAAATCTAAATTTAAAAAAGTTCTTCGCACTCATTAATTCATTAATTTTAAATGATTTTTTTTCATAGGAATTTGACCAATTTTCGAAATTAGACATTTTAAAACAACTTTTTCCCAAGTTATTTATATAAATATTAAGGAAACCTTTTTTATCAATTCTAAATCAATAGACAAATAACACATAATAATGTAATTAACTTACTGTGTAAAAGTTTTACTTCGTTCATTTTTTACCACTAAACATAGATTAAAATATTCAAAAATTAAATTTTCTGTCATGGAATCAACGGTCGTTATTTAAGACTAATTAATTTGATGTTTCAAAACATTGTTTTGGCGGTAAAACGCACTTGGTTTAATTTCTTGTTTTTTTATTTATTCTATGATATTTCTGACAGTTTTTCTTAAAAATCATACGATATTTCTAAACATCTGATTGGTCGAAAGCTTTAATAATATTTCTAATAGTAATACTTTAAACATGGATCCTTATTGGAATAGTGCGAAAGACGAAATGAATGATTTTGATGATTTAAATGATCCCCTTGAATCTAATTCTTCAGCTGGTAACGAATTATCAGGGTTAAATGGTGAGCCAATATTTTTTAAACTTCTTTTTGTTGCATTTTTGTTTTATTTTAATTTAAAGTTGAAAAAAGTTTACCGTCAATCAACTTTGACACTATGAAAATATGAAAATAATGTTTGCATAAAAATATTGAGTGAATAATTTTGAGAAAGAATTATAAAATTTTTAAGTAAAAATTGTTATTAAAAAAAAAAGAGAAAATGTAAAAAAGAACTTACCTTTTAAATTTATTTTTTAATTTTCAACTTTAATTTCAGAGTGGATTCAAAATGAAATTCTATCAAAAACAGATCTTGATTTGTTATCAGACGAAATATTGCTTAGTCAATTTTCTAATGGCCCCATTAAAATGGAAGATGATCCTTCGTTTGATTGTTTACCTAAAACAAACAATCATAACATTAAAAATGATACAGTACAGCTTGACACATCAATACAACTCAATAAAAATGCAAATTGTGTAAATACAAGTAATTCATCAACCAATTTAAAAAATGAATCCAGTAATAATAATAATAATAATAACAACAATAATAATAATATTCATCAGCAAACTTTACCAAATAACAATTCATATTATATAACTTTAAGTTCTCCAAATGTTAATTCAGTTCCTAAACAAACATCTCAATCTAAAACAGTGTTCTTTAAGCCCATTCAACAAAAACCGATTCAAAATCAGCAGCCTATTGTCAACAATATTAATACAGTAAATTGCCCAACTTCTATTACTGGACAGACTCAAGTTGCTTTTCAAGCACAGCCAACATTTTTATTGGCTTCCCAAATTAAGCATCCAGCTAATCAAGGAAATTTAAAACTAGCTGTACCTGCTGGGCCTCAGAGAGGAAATCAATTAGTAAGAGTACCTATCACTAATGATAAACTACCACAGGTAATATTTTTTCATTCATACATTCTTGACTCGTGTTACGATAAACCACATAATTCATTTTAAATACTTTTTAGGTATTAGTTCAAACACAATTCGTAAATTCTGAAAGTCCCATTTTGCAAAATGTGTTGCCTAAAAGTTGTCAAGTACCTCCATCTATAAATTCTGCAAATCAGAATGTGTCCAATACAACAAGGCTTCATACACTGGTTAATTCAACAAACGGAACTATCATAACTGGTAAAATTCTTCAAAAAGTCGAAAAACTTATTCTTATATACTTTAAGGCTTACTTTAATATATTCCTGTAAAATCAATTTTTACAAATATTGAAATTAAGTTAATTTAATGAAAAATAATAATGGAGGTATTTGTATAGCTTATTTAAATCTTAATTTTTTTAGGTTTTCCTGTTGTACTGGATACATCTGAAAAAATTCATATAAATCAAATTATTGCTCCTCAG